CTTTAAACATTCACTACATCCCACTTATTTCCTAAATTCCCATTTTCCCTGCGGTATATAGTCTAATACAAAAATTAATATTTGTTTCCAAAAAATCATGTCTTTGATTTTTCAAATACGTTTAGTATCGATTTTGATTTCAAAGCTTTCGAATATTGTTTCGCTAAAGGATGATAAGATAGATTTTTCGATTTTTATACCCTACACCACATAGTGGTAAGGGTATTATGTCTTTGTGCATTTGTTTGTAACATGGAGAAGGAAACGAGATAGACCCATAGTTACTTTTGAGAACCTTCATAGAATCACTTTCTGAGTCGATTTATGCATGTCCGTCCGTCTGTCCGTCCGTCCGTCCGTCCGTCCGTCCGTCCGTCTGTCCATGTATCCTTGTGAACAAAATGCAGGTCGCATTTATTATCCGATTGAGATGAAATTTTCCAAACAATATTTTTTTGGCCCAAGGACGAACCCTATTGAAACTGGTGAGAATCGGATCAAATTTAGATATAGCTCCCATATATATCTTCATCCGATTTCGGGTTAAATGAGCACCAAATGTCCACTATCAGTCCAAATTACCTGAATTTTGGCACACCCAACCGAGTTCGGCCTAGAAGCAAGTATATCAAATTTGGAGAAAATCGGTTCAGATATAGCTATAGCTCCCATATATATCTTTCATCCGATTTGATCTTTAAGTCCCTCACATTCCTACTATGCACTCCACAACCGTGATATTTGGTACCAGGTATTAGATGGAGCACAGAAATAGCTGTTTTAAATTTTATCGAAATCGGTTCAGATTTGGATATAGCTCCCATATATATCTTCATCCGATTTCGGGTTAATTGACCACCAAATGGCCAATATCAGCCCAAATGGCCCGAATTTTGGCACATGTGACCGAGATTAGCCTTAAAGCAAATACAACAAATTTGGAGAAAATCGGTTCAGAAACAGCTATAGCTCCCATATATATGTTTTATCCGATTTGGTGTTTAAGCCTCTCACATTCGTAATATGCACTCCACAAGAATGATATTTGGTACCAGATATAAGATACAGCACAGAAATAGCTGTTTGTAATTTTATCGAAATCGGTTCAGATTTGGATATAGCTCCCATATATATCTTCATCCGATTTCGGGTTAATTGTGCACCAAACGGCTGATATAAGTCCAAATGGACTGAATTTTAGTACATCGGACCAAATTCAGCCTAGAAGCAAGTATATCAAATTTAGTGAAAATCGGTTCAGATATAGATATAGCAACCATATATATGTTTCATCCGATTTAGTGTTTTAGTCCCATACATTCGTAATATTCACTCCACAACCCTGATATTTGGTACCAGGTATTAGATGGAGCACAGGAATAGCTGTTTTAAATTTTATCGAAATCGGTTCAGATTTGGATACAGCTCCCATATATATCTTCATCCGATTTAGCGTTAAATGTGCACTAAATGGTCAATATCAGCCCAAATCACCTGAACTTTCGTACATAAGACCTAATTCAGTCTAGAAGCTAATACGTAAAATTTGGAGAAACCCGGTTCAGAGATAGCTATAGTTCGTAAAATGCACGATAGAATTAGATAGATTTTGATTTTGTACCAAATATCTCATAGAGCTCTGAAAAAATCTATCTAATTCTATCGTGCATTTTACGAACTATAGCTATCTCTGAACCGGGTTTCTCCAAATTTTACGTATTAGCTTCTAGACTGGTGATTTGGGCTGATATTGACCATTTAGTGCACATTTAACCCGAAATCGGATGAAGATATATATGAGAGCTATATCCAAATCTGAACCGATTTCGATAAAATTTAAAACAGCTATTCCTGTGCTCCATCTAATACCTGGTACCAAATATCACGGTTGTGCAGTGAATATTACGAATGTATGGGACTAAAACTCTAAATCGGATGAAACATATATATGGGAGCTATAGCTATATCTGAACCGATTTTCACTAAAATTGATATACTTGCTTCTAGGCTGAATTTGGTCCGATGTACTAAAATTCAGTCCATTTGGACTTATATCGGCCATTTGGTCCACAATTAACCCGAAATCGGATGAAAATATATATGGGAGCTATATCCAAATCTGAACCGATTTCGATAAAATTACAAACAGCTATTTCTGGGCTGTATCTTATATCTGGTACCAAATATCATTCTTGTGGAGTGCATATTACGAATGTGAGAGACTTAAACACCAAATCGGATGAAAGATATATATGGGAGCTATAACTATATCTGAACCGATTTTCTCCAAATTTGTTGTATTTGCTTTAAGGCTAATCTCGGTCACATGTGCCAAAATTCGGGCCATTTGGGCTGATATTGGCCATTTGGTGGTCAATTAACCCGAAATCGGATGAAGATATATATGGGAGCTATATCCAAATTTAAACCGATTTCAATAAAATTTATAACAGCTATTTCTGTGCTCCATCTAATACCTGGTACCAAATATCACGGTTGTGGAGTGCATAGTAGGAATATGAGGGACTTAAACATCAAATCGGATGAAAGATATATGTGGGAGCTATAGCTATATCTGAACCGATTTTCTCCAAATTTAATATACTTGCTTCTAGGCCGAACTCGGTTGGGTGTGCCGAAATTCAGGTAATTTGGACTGATAGTGGACATTTGGTGCACATTTAACCCGAAATCGGATGAAGATATATTTGGGAGCTATATCTAAATTTGATCCGATTCTCACCAGTTTCAATAGGGTTCATCCTAGGGCCAAAAAAATATTGTTTGGAAAATTTCATCACAATCGGATAATAAATGCGACCTGCATTTTGTTCACAAGAATACATGGACAGACGGGCGGACGGACGGACTGACATGCATAAATCGTCTCAGAAAGTGATTCTATGAAGGTTCTCAAAAGTAACTATGGGTCTATCTCGTTTCCTTCTCCAAGTTACAAACAAATGCACAAAGACATAATACCCTTACCACTATGTGGTGTAGGGTATAAAAAAGATGTAAATTCGGCCGTGTCGAACTTTGAATACCATCCACCATTTGGAACGAATTTGGCAATTCTTAAAAACAATAAAATCCGTTAATAATGCTGTTAAAATCTTAAAAATATCGAATGTAGCTGTTACATTACGGTCAATACGACGATATGGACCTGCATAGGTAACTTTTGTCATATGCCATTACAATATTCAAATGCGAAACTATCAAAATACCGAATATCGGGAGGTATTGTTATATGGGGGCTATACGAAGACGTGGACCTGCACAGACAATTTTCTGTCTTAGGCTGTAGTATCCATTACGAACTTCAAATAATAAATGTGAAAGAATTCCGGTGAATAATGTCGCTAAAATCATCAAAGAACCGAATAATTTTCTGTCTTAGGCTGTAGCATCCATTTCGAACTTCAAATACCAAATTTGAAATATTTCCATTGAATATTGTTGCAAAAATCGTCAAAATACCGAATATCGGGAGGTACCGTTATATGGGGGCTATACCAAAACGTGGGCCTACATGACCCATTTTCAATACCAAAAGTCCTGCAGACATAATATACATTTGAGTAAAATTTTATCAATCTATTTCAATTCGTTCGGAAGCTGGAGTGATTTCCACAGACGGGTAGACGGACAGACATCGTTAAATCGACATAGCATTTTATGCTGATCGAAAATATATATACTTTATGGGGTCTAAAATGTATATTTCGGGGTGTTACAAACGGAATGACAAACTTAATATACCCTCCATACTATGGTGGAGGGTATAAAAATAATCTTGATCAGTTTGTAGATATCGATTCACAATATCGTATAGTTTCCATATAACGGTACCTCCAGATAGATAGATTGACGATATCGTATAGCCCCCATATATCGGTACCCTCATATACTCGGTATTTTAGTGATTATAGCCACAGAACGGAATTGTCTGTAATTCTGCACATAATTTCGGATACTTTACCCCTGAAAGAAAATTCTTTATATGGGTCCTCGACTTTTCAAATTAGTTATTTTAAATTAACATCTTAGATTGATATCTCTAGAAATTATAAAAAAAAAATATTTTCCCCTAATGATGGAGGGTATCAAAAGTTCGGCCCGCCAATCTTAACTGCTTTTTAACTCGTTTACATTTACTTGGTGTAGGGTACTACTACATGGAAGCCCTATAGTACAACTTCGAACATTTACTGTTGCAATCTAATGAGCTATGCAGTCATTCTATGAGCCTGTCAGTTAATCCATATACAAGTGGATGTATGGGAGTGCATGTATGTATGTAGTTGTACTTTAGCAACATATCAGTTTCGCAATTTTCATATTCATAAAGTTCCTGTGGCAATAAATAATTTTCATATCTCAATTGAATTTGAAACAATGCAAAAAATTAATTCAATTGAATTCGTTGCAACCAACGCCCAATTTCTAACATCAAACAATTGTTTGGGCTGTTCGCTCCCTCTATTCCTCCCTCCCTGCCAACCAAACATGCCATAAAAAATAAGTTATTAGACAAGTGTTCTTGTCGAAAATAGAAACTCCAATTCCACATCAAGATGACCAGTAACCATTTAATTGTCAAATGTTGCAGGTTTTTTATTTGGAGGCAAACATTTTGCTGCAGCAGCAGCTACGCTGGCGGCAACAAAACAACAAACAACAACAACCGTCAATTGTTGTTGCCATTGGTGGAGGTGGCAGTTGTTACAATTGTAAGGTGCTGCTCTGGTGCTCCGATTATTATATATTTTAACGCTCACTTTAAAATAGCTAAGCTTGGAAAACCGAAAAAAAAACTATTTTTGCAAGATATTTCTCAGTTGTTGTTATTGGTATTTGGTTGTTTTTGTTTTTCTTCAAATTTTTTGGTGTGGCATTCAGAAATAACACTGGAAACGTCTAATGCCACACACCGAGGCATACACAGAGATACTCACTTGCAGCCATACAAATTATTTTAGTATAAAAGTTGGCTTAATTTGCTTAAGAAAATCAGAATCAAATCTTAAGGCGTTCGTTGAACACAATCTTCTCGCTGTCGCTTTCAGTTCTTTCATATCCTTCTTTCAACAACATGAAGGTATGAGGATTAAATAGAGAGCATCCTTTTGGGAATAGTTGTCTGGACGGAATTTATAAATTGTCTTACCTTCTTTTGATTTTAGTTCGCATTTGCCGTAGTCTTGTTGGCCCTTGCTGTTGGTGTCCAATCTTCGGGATGGGGTGGTCCATGGGCCGGTCCCTGGGGAGGCTCATATGCTGATCATAGTGCTTGGGGCGCTCATGCCGGTCCCTGGGCTGGCCACTGGGGAGGTCCAGCTGCCGTCGATGTTAGCGGAGCTTGGGGTCATGGTGCCTGGGGCCATGGTGCTTGGGGTGGTTATCCCGGAATCTCTCTGAGCCAAGGACCCGGTTTGGCTCATGGTGCCCATGGACCCGGTGTCTATGTTGCCAAGACTCGCGGTGCTGTCCACACCGCTCCTCTGGCTGGTCACATCAACTCAGCTACTTCTGTGAATGTAGCCCCTGCTCCAGGAACACACTAAACGACCACAGGCACATCTCTACCAGCTGACACAGGACACCAAACTAGTTTTACGTTTCCACCTACCACCTCCATCTATACCCATTAGTTGTTCATTCTCTTTGAACTACTAATGTCTTTGTACTGAATTTCTTCTCTCTTCGTTTACTTTCTCTCTTTTCTCTTTTGCTTCTCTTTCCATATCCTTTCTCCTTTTTATAACTAGCTGCAACAAGAAAAAAATCCTTAAAAAAATGTACATAAAAACAGGATCTATATTTTCATGAATTGGTCTTTGATCTTTTACATGTAAGAGAACTTTGTTATAGTCTACACACACATATCGTTCGTTTATTGTTTCTCATACTTATTATTGTAAGGACACCATACATACTTATCTGAAACGAAATGTAACAGAATAAAGTTATTAAAAACTTATGTCAATGTGATTTTTTCAATGGGAACGGGAAGTAATGTTCTAATAAAAAAAGAAGTTTTACGATGTGATAACGTGGTGTATCTCCCTGGAGAGAAGTGGAACGCGCAGCCAAAATTAGAGGATCGTGGTGTTTCGAAAACTTTTCAAAACAGCGAACCGAATCCCAAAAAAATAGCTTGAAGAGTATTCCCTGTTAATAAATACCTAAGACTAACAAGAAAATTTACAGGAAAACAGGGTCATAATCAAAAAAACATCTCCCGATATATGGCGTCTATGGGCCCCAATCAATAACAAACAAATATACGAAATTATAAGAAACTAATCTGGACTTCGATTTTGGACAGATCATTTTTATACCCTAAACCACAAGGTGGTCAGGGTACTATGTCTTTGTGCATTTGTTTGTAACAGGCAGAAGGAAAGGAGATAGACCCATAGTTCCTTTTGATGATCTGCATAGAATCACATTCTGAGTCGATTTATGCATGTCCGTCCGTCTGTCCGTCCGTCCGTCCGTCTGTCCATGTACTTTTGTAAACAAAGTACAGGTCGCATTTATTGCCCGATCCAGATGAAATTTTGCAAAGATCTTTTGTTTGGCCCAAGGACGAACCCTATTGAAATTGGAGATAATCGGTAAAATTTTAGATGTAGCTACCATATATATCTTCGTCCGATTTGCTTTCTATTGTGCACCAAACGTGTAATATCTGCCCGAATTGTATGGAATTTTGCATATACACCCAAATTAGGCCTGAAAATATGTATGCCAAATTTGATCGAAATCGGTTCAGATACAGCTATAGCTCCCATATATATTATTCATTCGATTTGTTATTTTTGTCCACCGCCGCCGTAATATGCGCTCTGTAACAACAATATTTGGGGAAATATAAAAAAAATATCAAATACAGCTCAGAAATATCTTTGCCAAATTTTATCGAGATCGGTTCAGATTTGGATATAGCTCTTTCTTTATCCGATTTCAAATTAATTGTGCACCAAATGGGCAATACAATTCCGAATTTAGAAGATATAAATGCTTCGGCATATTTAGTCCTTTGAACTTTTAATTATAATTATAATCATAGCGTGTATGATTGAATTCTCCCATAAAAACTTTTAATTGTTATGTCGAGCTCTACTTAATTAGCAAAGTGGTGTAGGGTATCATAAAGTCGGCCCCGCCCGACTTTAAGACTTTCTTTACTGGTTTTTTAATTATGATGTTCTAGTAAATGTATACTAATTCATATGAAGAAAAATGAATTGATATTCGGTGAACTTATGTGTGATTATTTATCCCAAATAGAATAAATAATAAACCCAGTGAGGAAAGTCAAAAGTCGGGCGGGGTCGACTATATAACACCCTACACCGCTATGCATATTTAGTAGAGCTCCCGTAACAAAAGAATTTATTTGAAGTAGAACATATTACCTATCAACATTTGAAGGCATATTTGCATTCTGAATCGATTTTCACTAAATTTGAAGGAGGAACACTAAATTTGAAGGAGGAACACTGCCCTGATATTACCCTTAGAATTTTAACCAGGGACATTTGCCCAATATTTACGTCCCGCTGTTAGTTGTTGTGGTCCATTTTGTAAATGTAATCCAATGGTCATCCAAGATGCTAGAACTCTTCCCTGCCCTTAACTCTCTTCTCAGGCCTGTCGATTGGCTTCAATTGAGTGATCAGGAGATTTGATCTGTTTTAGGTAATTATTTTGCGATCATCTCCAAAAGCAAGAGACCCTCTGTATCTCTAAAACTCATTTATATTTCCCTGAATATCAGCCTTTCGGTAGAATTAAAATGTTGGTATTTTTTCACACAAAATTAGTGGTCCATTCTACCCGCTGTTCTAAACTCTAACTTAATGCGACCTTTATAACGGCAGCAAAATCAGGAAGGTTTTTAGTTGTTGGTCCATTTCAACCCCTAAATACATTGCGGACATCTTTGAAAACAATTGGCCTAGCCATTCTGATCCTGACCCTACCCTTGTGAAAATTTTCGTGATGATTGAACGATAATTACAACCTGTATATAATAACCCCAACCTGTGTCGTAAGGTGAAAAAATATTACAAAATGTATACTTCAACAATACAAGTCAAATTGAAAAAACCGCATGCGATTAAAAATATAAAATAAAACCAGTAAAGGAAGTCCTAAAGTCGGGCGGGGCCGATTTTATGATAATTAAAAGTTTTTATAGGAGAATTCAATCATACACGCTATGAATATAATTATAATTTAAAATTCAAAGGACTAAATATGCCGAAGCATTTGAATCTTTTGAATTCGGACTTGTATTGCCCATTTGGTGCAAAATTAATTTGAAATCGGATAAAAATATATATGGGAACTATATCCAAATCTGAACCGATCTCGATAAAATTTGGCAAAGATATTTCTGAGCTGTATTTGATATATTTCCCTGAATATCATTGTTACGGAGTGCATATTACGGCAGTGGGTAACAAATACAATAAATCGGATGAACAATATATATGGGAGCTATAACTATATCTGAACCGATCTTCACCAAATTTGGCATACTACCTTCTAGACTAAATTCGGTTATATGTGCCAAATTCCATCCCATTTGGACAAAATATTAGACGTTTGGTGCACAATAAATGGTAAGTCGGACGAATTATATATCGGAGCTATATCCAAATCTGAACCGATCTCGATAAAATTTAGCAAAGGTATTTCTGAGCTGCATTTGATATATTTCCCCAAATATTGTTGTTACAGAGTGCATATTACGGCCGCGGAGGACAAAAATAACAAATCGGATGAACAATATATATGGGAGCTATAGCTATATCTGAACCGATTTCGATAAAATTTGGCATACTTATTTTCAGGCCTAATTTGGTTGTATGTGCAAAATTCCATACTATTCGCGCTGATATTACACGTTTGGTGCACAATAAAAGGCAAATCGGACGAAGATATATATTGGAGCTATATCTAAATTTTTACCGATTATCTCCAATTTCAATAGGGTTCGTCCTTGGGCCAAACAAATGTTGTTTGCAAAATTTCATCTCAATCGGATAATAAATGCGACCTGCATTTTGTTCACAAGAATACATGGACAGACGGACGGACGGACGGACAGACGGATAGACGGACAGACGGACTGACATGCATAAATCAACTCAGAAAGTGATTCTATGCAGCTCATCAAAATGAACTATGTGTCTATCTCGTTTCCTTTTGCCTGTTACAAACAAATGCACAAAGACATAATACCCTGACCACCTTGTGGTGTAGGGTATAAAAAATGCCTCAAAATACTACAAAATCTATATTAACATTATTATTGGCATCTTTCCATGCGATTTTTTTAAGTTTTATAGTTTTATGCCACGAGGACAATCTGAATTGACAAAATTTGTCAAAATCGGCCAAGCCATTCATGAGATATAAGCATTCTAGCTAACATCCCCTTCCTTTGTATATACAGATTGTATGTATTTCGCTATATATATCCGATATATTTACTATCGGTATCCACGTAACTGTCAGAATTGACTTGTTCGTCTATTTGTGATTTCGTCGGGATTAAAAATATTCGCGGTTTAATGGAAAATTTGACATTTACTTAACATAAATGTTATGGTCTATTTCATCCACTAAATATTATCCGATCACCATCAAAATTGGAAGGCTCCTGCCCAGCCCCAAGCTCTAGCCTCATGCTAATTTAGGTGTCGATTGGTCTATAATTGCGACCTGTAGAGCATTTACAATATCAAGACATTTTTCAGTTTTTGGTCCATTTCAACCTAAATATTATGCGATCGTCTTCAAAAGCGATAGGCTTTTATTCTGGCCCTAGCCCACCTCCATTCTAAATTTCGTGAAGATCGGGGAATAATTTCGACCTGTAGAGTGATTACAAATTAACATGGACAGACGGACGAACGTACGGACATACATAGCAGATCGACTCAGCTCGGCGAGATAGCGAGATATGTACTTTCCTATGTGGGAAATCAATATTTCAAGGTGTTACATAATTTTTGGCCCAATAAAATTTTTCATTTCATATTTACATAGAACAAAAATCCAGTCTCCTGTTTAAGCTCCCTGGACCTAAATTTTCATCAACCAGCTTGGAATGTGTTATATGGGATATTAAAATATTGTAACAGTTCATGGCGTTTTATACTTTTTCTACGTTTTACACGATTACAACTTTACGACAGTCGAAAACCTTTAAAAATGGTCAAACGAACCATCTTTGGTCGTGGTGGTTTGAAAATCTACAAAACAGAGAGAAAAACTTTTCTTCTACTACCGAACTTATAATATGTACTTAAGACTAACCAGGAAATTTGTAGGAAAACAGGGTCATAACCAAGAAACATATTCCGATATATGGAGTCTGTGGGCAATCGTCTATTACTCCTTAAGAACCAAATATCCTAAATGATAAAACCAAGTTAAAAAGCAGTAAGTTTGGCAGGGACGAATTGTTAAAACCCCCCACCGTTTTGAACGAATTTCCAATATCATTCTGGGGGAGTGCATATTGTACATGTGAGGGACTTAAAACCCTAAATCGGATGAAACATAGTAAGTTTTTGTCATAGGCTTCTGTTCTGACCCTACCCCTGCCTCCGTGTGAAATTTCGTGAGGATCCAGCTATAAATGCGTCCTGATTATTACAAATTACCATGGACAGACGGACGGACACACATAGCTAGATCGACTCAGCTCGGCGAGATAGGAAGATCTATACGGAACATCCTATGTCCAAAACCAATATTTCGAGGTGAGAATGGTCCTTTCAACAGCAATTGGTTTCACCTGATTATAAAACAGTTCTAAAATGAAATAACTATCTGATTTAGAGGTAAGGTTAAGTCTAAATTGAAGATGAAACGCGAGATATGCTCCTAAACAATGTTGTAAATGAAAGAAAAGACGGATAACACGTATGTTTTTATACCCTCCACCATATATAG